CCGAAAGGCTGGATGTTCATTGTCTGGAAAGGAAGACTTGGAGATCTACTTCTGAAGGACTAGCCACTGAGAGCGCTGTGGGGCTCAGGCCCTCTTGGATAGCCCTCCTCAGGTCTTCGCGAGTCAGTCAGGGCTAACTACCTAGAGTCAACTGCACAGCAGCTGGTTTTTTTGAAGAACCTTGGTGACCTTGGGTGTCTTTATATGGATGACCACTTGTCTATCTTTTCTGGCAAAATGTCTTATCAAATCCTTTGCTCGTTTTTTAGTTGGGTTCTTTTTGCTGTTACTTGGGAATTTTTGAAATCTTGTTGTACTGTTTTCCTCGAGAGTGGTGCTTATTGGGGTATTAGACGGCTAACAACAAGATCGGTGGTTCAAACCCACTACCTGCTCTTTGGCAGAAGGATGAGACTGTTCCTCTAAAGACTTAATAGCCTCGGAAATCCTACACAAGCTTATAATAAGTTGGAATCAACCCTGTGGTAGTGATTTTGTGTTTGGGGGGTGGGGTGGTGGCGGCGTGGGGACTATATGTAAACTGCTAACCATGTATGCGATCAGTACTCTGATTTAAAGCAGTGAGAGAGAATTTTACAATTTCCTCAAGATAGCAAACCTTGTTAAATGTTCGTGTTTTCTGATGTTTGTTTTTGTCTTAATGACCTGCCCTTCTCATTGAAAAAGTAATTAGGAGAAGCTCTTTGGCACTTTTTTCAATTTACATTGCATTCATAATGTAAATGATGTTTTCTAAAGCTTGAAACCAAATGTACAGCATGTAATTTTCACAATAGTACTTCAGTTGTATAGTCATGGATCAGTATATATTTAACCCACTAGACCTATAACTATGAACCAAATCTGCAAATTAAATACAAAAAGAACTGCAAAAACCAGTAAGAATAAAATCGAGTTCTTCAGTTTGACAGATGATGTTTCGATTTCACAGTTGGAGAAAAATAGCCTTGGGTCTGATTCCACATTAAATCTGTCTCTGTACTTGAACTCCGGTGATAGGAAAAGCTGCCAGTGCCCCTTCTCAACAGTAAAGGGGTGCACGATGGAATTAATGACTTCAAGGCTTTGTTTTTAACTTCAGAATTATCAGTCCTCATACTTAAGGAAACACTTGCCAGCAAGTATTCCTCACATATCAATATTAATGAGATGTCAGCTGTCTTACTCACTCTAAGTTAGAATGTCATTATTGGAATCCTCATTAAATGTCTCTGTAAACCAATTATTGTTGGAGGTGAGACTGGAGGAAGTCATTACATATGTACTGTCACTGACCCCTTGCAAGTTGTACAACAGAGATGGGATCCATACAGTGCTTATAGTGCGTATGCAAGAGGGTCTCAAAAATTTGGAAAATGGAATTGAAACTAGTGAAAGTTTTCCACCAACTGCTTAAAGCCTCCTGGTATAATTTTGGCTATTAGGCTTTTGGCTTTCGAATTTCCCAGTAGGGCTGTGGGAGTTCTTGAGGGGGCAAATAATGTGTGTGCTGGCTGCTAACCGAAAGGCTGGAGGTCTGAGTCCACTCTGAGGCACTTCAGCAGCCAGGCTTGTGAAATACCTCAGATGCCAACGAGAACCTTACGGAGCTCAGTTCTACCCTGACGCTCGTGCTTCCGTGGGCCAGTGGCCTGACAGCGCATGCTCTGATAATTCAACTTCCCCTATCTGTCACTCTTTTCATAAATATGACATCTTTGCTTGTATATTTGGCTTAAAGGTGATTGATCATAAGACAACTGAAGAAGCACCAGTCAAATCCAAGTGGCAGTATTTAATTAGATGATGCCTCCTCGTGCTCTAGAATGCTTACCATTGTTCTCCGACCATCTTCTAAATGAAAATGTTTATAGGCAGATCTTAGGCTCTCTTCCTCTTTCCATGTATTTGTGACTTCCTGCTTGAGAAACATTGCTTTAGCAAATATTTATCTCAGCACCTTGTAGCAGTCCAGGATTAAAAAAATGGGAAGGACAACTCAAAACAAAACTTGACGTTTCATAATCTGAGAGAGCAAACTCAATAGATTGATTTATCCCAGACTAACCAAACTCCCCCCAAAACTCACTGCCATAGAGTCTGTGCCAGTTCATATCGTGACCTTATAGGACAGGGTAGAGCTGCCCCTGTGAGTTTCTGAGACGAACTCTTCACAAGAGTACTCTCTGGGAGTTGCTGGTGGTTTTGAACTACTGACCTTGTGGCTCACATACCAATATGTAGTGGTATACTAAGATACCCCAAATCAGGGAGAGTGTTATGGAAACCTATAGAAAGGGAGCTGTCGGTGACTTAGGGTAGAGGAAAGGTTTGGCAAGGGTCTTGTTTGAATTGGTTCTTACAGAATGCCAGGCTGACCACAGAGGGTGTGTTTAAAAGAAGGCAGCCGAGCAGAGAGAGAGGATGTGTAAAGACCAAGCTTATGAAAGACATGGCTTTGAGATGGTGAGCAGCCCATGGCCCTGGGACAGCCTTTGTATGTGAGAAGTAAATTGTAACCCGCTAGTACAACTCCTAATTGTTAGGCTCATTGTTTAGCTTTATCTTGTGTGTTCCAGGGGACCTAGAGAGCTCTTAGAAGAGGAGAGTATGTATATTCGTGACCATATTTTTATTTGAAACAGTTACAAAACTGTATTGTAATGTTCTCCTACAGTTATCGGTTCTTAAAGGGCCATGATTATGTGCTGTTTATTATCTCTGAATCCTTAGCTTAGAGTAGAGTGATTAGAGTTAAGGCTTAGAAGACATTGGTTGAATGAATAACTGGCCTTAAAGAAACAGGAATTGGGAAGGAATTATAACAGTCTCCCGTGGTGCTGGTTTGACTCTTTGGCCACAGACCCCATTGTGGTTCTGTTGATATCATGTGCTCCTGAAGCCACTGTGGATTCCTGGTTCAGAATCTTTCCTTGCACAATTACACCTAGTGAATGCATGCTTACTCGTAGCCCCCTAGTTCCAACCTTGAACAATTACCGTGTCTGTTATTAAATAGGTCTTGAAAGGGGAGGAGTCAAGCCAATTAGTTGAACTGTCTGTGAAGAAAGAAAAAAGATTATAACGGTTAAGGTAAAACTTTGCTTCTCTGTAAAGATACAGATGAATATGCTAACCTGTTGCCGAACTGGAAAGATAATAGACAAAGCTGCTTAATTAAACCAGACAGGTCTGTTTAATTAAAACAACTACTTAGGAGAGCCTGGCCTTTCTGAGTTTGAGTTTAGCAAGTGAGTCAAAGACCACTTTCGGGCTTGATGATTTGCTGGAGGATTCTGAGGACCCAGAAAAACTGTTCATGCTCATGGTTCCCAGTTAAATCCAGTGAAGGCTGTACAGACCTACAATCGAAGGGAAGAGGTACATGAGGTGAAATCTGGGAGAAATCAGGGCAGAGCTTGCCCGTATCCCCTCCCAGATATGGGGGTACTGGGACATGCTCAGCTGGCACGTGTGGCACCATGTGTAGAGTGTTGCCAACGAGGGAAGCTTCTCCGTTACAGATGTCCAGGGTTTTTATTGGGGGGTCTGTCTCAGTCACCCGGGCTTGTAGTACCTCTGGGTATCTGCTTCTAGCATCATAGACTTCAGGACCCTTAAGAACAAAAACACAGGTGATTGCCATCACCTTGTAAATAGAATTGTTGTAAATGGACCAGGCCCTAGTGATCCAAGGCTACAGACATCCAAACACTCTTATCAGCAGATTATCTCATCCAGGCCGAAAGCTCACCCGGCGTGTCTTTAAGACCGACTTTTCTTGGGAATGTCCAGGGTTTGAGCAATCCCGGCCTGCGGAGACCCTTTTCCTGCACAAGGAGCTGCTCTGGGTGTTGGCTGTCTTCTGGCCTGTCTGCCCAGTTGCTCCTTTTCTAGGTACAGTGAACCTTCCTGGCCTCTGATCCGCAGAAGTATTTGAGTGTTGGTATCTGTGTTCCAGGTCTAGTGTGTGGTAGTAGATTGACATAGATGATTAGTCTGGGTCTTTCACCGCAAGGATCTTAGCATTTCATAGAAAGGGGGAAAAAATCACAATGCTTGTGCTATTGTGAGTACTTTGCAAATGGTTAGCACACTTGTCTGCTAACTGAAAGAAGGCTTGGTTTCACAGCAGGAAAAAAAATAGCCTTCAATTGGTTTCTGTATTTTAACTTTAGTGAAACTAAAAGCTGCAATAACGCCAACACCTAACCCCATCAGCATCGACGTCATTCGAGAGCATGGTTGAGGGTGTTTGGATCTGCGTGCGTGGGAGGTGTTGGTGATAATTAGGGTGAGATTTAGCTAAAGAGGTCACTCTGGGAGTTAAGCTATGAAGATTGAATAGATGCAAGCGGGCATGGAAGTTAATGTTTCTCTGGCCGTTTCTGCAGCCAAGTGGTTTGTGTGGTTGGGACATATTGGTACTGCCTGGTTGGCTTTACTGAGAGGACCCCGATCTCAACTAGATGATGCCTGACTTCTCTGGGTGTCCATGAAGGGGGGAAAAGAGATCAGTTCAATATAAATATATATCCACTACCCCACTATCACAAATCCTTCCGTGTGACAGCTCCTAAAGTACAGTGAAGATGTAACGGTAATAGCAATTTCACATGTTGTTCCTCAGTGGGGGGGCGAGGGGGGGAGCCTAAGAGTACATAGTTCTTGCTGATAAGAACAGCACACCCATTAAAAATTTAAAAATGCAGTTTGTTTCAAACTGGAGGGCAAATGCTGGCCTGACGTTGGTGACTACATACATAACAAATTCAAGATTTTCTACACTTGGAAACAAAACTTACTGTTTAGAAAAACACCAGGTCTGACTCGCAGTTCTCAACAGAATTCAGTTTCCAAGAGTGAAAACAAGCTTCGTGTTTTGAGTAATGCAATGAAATGGATTATGGTAGGATGGAGACTGTGTTATTATACTGAATATTGGATTTGTTCAAACTCTTAGTCTCTTGAGAGCTTTTTCTAGCAGACTCTTGTTCTCTTCTTCCAGCTTTACAGTGTTTCTGCCACCTCTGCACGAAGGACAATTTCACTTGTGTGACAGACGGGCTCTGCTTTGTCTCTGTCACAGAGACCACAGACAAAGTTATACACAATAGCATGTGCATCGCCGAGATCGACCTGATTCCTCGGGACAGGCCGTTTGTATGTGCACCGTCTTCCAAAGCTGGCTCTTCTACCACAACGTACTGCTGCAAGCAGGACCACTGCAATAAAATAGACATCCCAACTCCCGGTAAGTGATTGTAGCAGGTTTCATTTCCTCTGATGTTACAGAACAGCTGTAAGACTCTTTGTTACAGTTTTAGGACCAGAAGGGATCTCAGAAATCATCTAGCCTGTGTTTCCCAGAATGGGTGGTATCCAGTAGAGCTGCAGAAGCAGATATCTACACTCTGTCCTGGGTTATGGGCTTTAGTACAAATGTTTTCCATTGCCAAGGGAGTGTTGAGTTATTAGTCATATAGATGTATGTAAAGAAGCATGTATGTTTGTTTGCAGGCCAGATAAGTATGGTCACCTGTGATCTAGCCCGGTATGCTCAGTTCTGAGCAAGCAGTAGCTGGTGCATGGTAGCTGCAGTTATGAGAGTGGCCAAGATCCTGGCTTTGCTGGGTATGTGTTGTTTGACAGGGTGGTTTCAGAACAAACCTTCTCCTAAGGAAATGATCACAAGCCCCCAAAGCACTCTGTCCCAGAGTATCCTCACTTTGTTTGCAGAGTGAATTTCTTTTTCCTGTAAAATGTCTTCTACTTTCTAAAGCAATTTCTAAAGATTAAGAACGGCACTAAATAGTTCAATGCCTTCATTTTGTAAATTTGACATGCCTTTATGATCTATATCTATATGTACTCCAGTATAAGCCGACCCGAATATCAGCCAAGGCACCTAATTTTACCACAGAACTGCCTTAAAAATGTGCTGAAAAACCCGGCTTATACTTGAATATATACGGTGCAGAAATTATTATACAGGATTTTAGATTTTTGGTGCTCTCAGTAATAGTGTAGGTGTCCCAGTGACACAGTTGGTAGTACTTGTCTGCTAAATGAAAGATTGACAGTTCTAACCACCAACTTCTTGGGAGAAAGGAGGCAGCGGCGGTTCCAGGCGGTTCCAGTGGCGGCAGTGTAGGTTAAGCTGCAGCTTCAGCCTGAGAAGGAAGCTCCTGGGGGGCAAGTCCAGGTGGTTAAAAAGACTAGAAAACATACACCTGCAAAGTCAGCAAAGCACATGTAGCAGTTAGAGACCACAAACTGGTAGAGATGTATACAAAAATGAGTTGTTTTGGAATAGTGAGGCTGTCAGTAGTTTTTATTTTTACTGTGTGTGTGTGTGTGTGTGTGTGTGTGTGTGTGAGAGAGAGAGAGAGAGAGAGAGAGATTGATTTTCCCCTGCTGTGAACGTGGCATAGTGGGTTATGTGTCGGGCTGCTAACTGGGTGGTTAGCTGTTTGAAACCACCAGCAGCTCCTTGGGAGAAAGGGGAAGTTTCCATTCCCATAAGGAGTCACAGTCTCAAAAATCCACAGGAGTAGTACCCTACTCCTATGAGTCAGAACTGGCTCACTGGCAGTGAGGTTGGTTTTGAGTTTATGAACATGTACTGGCCTTGAGATAAACAGAAAAGACAAAATCCCTGTTATGAAAAGGAAGGCTTTTAAAGGGGGCACTGCTGTAGAGTATTGGTTGCTTTATGAATAACCTGGTGGCGTAGTGCATTATGTGCTGGGCTGTTCAGCCCATCAGCCCATTCTGAGGGAGAACAGTGAGGCCTCTAGGCTACTGCTGTAAGACCTAGAGCACTGGAAACCCCAGGAGCAGCTCTAGACTACCCTCACAGAGCTGCTGTGAGTTGGAATCTACTCTGGCAATGGGTGCTAAGTGGGGAGATCTTAGAATGGCGGCAGTAGTTGGGGACTATATGGAGAGTGATTGGTGGTGTCAGAGCTGGTGATCCTAACTGAAGGCTGGACAGACAAGAGGGACTGGAGAAGCCTGGGTTTGAACCCTGAGAACCTCTGTATGGATGGTGGAGGGTCAGGAACACGTGAGTGCTATCTTCACAGTGCTTCCATTAATGTGTATTTCACTTTCGGCCCATTTTCAGTAAAGCCACAGCCTGTCCTTAGCCCCGTCCAGCTGGCAGCTGTCATTGCTGGCCCAGTCTGCTTCGTCTGCATCTCACTCATGTTGATGGTCTATATCTGCCATAACCGCACTGTCGGCCACCATCGAGTGCCAAACGAAGAGGACCCCTCATTGGATCGTCCATTCATTTCGGAGGGCACTACACTGAAAGATTTGATTTATGATATGACAACATCAGGTTCTGGATCAGGTAATGGAACGCTTTTCTTTTTCCTAAGACAGAAATTCCTCTGATGCTGAGTTAATCCTACTGGTGTCTCCGGGGTGGTGTAGAAGGTTAAGCACTGGACTACTTGTTGAAAGGTGGGCAGTTGGAACCCAGCGGCACCTCAGAAGACAGGCCTGGTGATCTGGCTCGGAAAGGTTAGAGCCTTGGGGAGGAAGTCTGCGGACTGTAACAGGCCACCAGACTTCTCAGGACGGACCTGACGGCAGCTACATGCTCTCTGTTGCAGCAGGTGATTATTTGGCTGGTTAAAACCCGGCGTCCTGTGCCCACATTCTAGACTGGAGCCTGATAAAGGTCTTTAAACCTGATCTGTATCGAACTGGCTAGTTTTGTGTAGATAGATTGGAACGTGCTTTTACTTTCCAGGCAGACCAGTAAGTCAGCTTCACGTTTGTATAAGTCCAAGGCACTTACACTGGTAAAGTCTCACTCGCTTCTCGGACACGGAGCGATGAAAAGGACAAAGGCCCTTCCCGTGGCTCAGGGGAAGGGTTGTGCACACGGTCTGCCCTGGGCATAGCTCCCCAACCCGCCCAGGCTTGTTTCAGCAGTGTTGTTTGTGTATTTGGAAGATGGCATGACAGAAAGTCTGTTTGGATTTGTCAAGGTTATTTGCTTTTTTAATGTTGTACAAAATTGCTGTTTCGGCTCAGGTTCTTCCCACCCCTTAACTAATGAATTCTTAGTCATTTTATTTTTCACTTAAGAAAGCAAGCTAACCAACTGATTATTTTATTATTATTATTAAAAGATCATTTTATTGGGGGCTCTTACAGCTCTTACAACAATACATATATCAGTCGTATCAAGCATATTTGTACATATGTTGCCATCCAACTTGTTATTTTTAAGTAGCTTTGTGGATCCATAGTCCCTATAAACAGTTGCTTTTCCTAGTTATGTTTGTTGATTTTTGTGAGATCATGAATAGATTGGTTAAATGTCTGACTCAACCCCCGAAGGAGATTTGGGCCTGGAGATGCTTTATGGTGAAGCTAGCGGGTAATTATCTTTTTATTTTTGCCTGCGTGTAGTTTGGAACACTACTAAGAGGAGGAACACATCTATCCCCTGAAATATTGGAATTTGATGCTAGGCCAGTAGTAAGTAGATCTAGTTTCCAATCCAGGCTTTGTCATTGTTTTGCTCTGTGACCTTGGCTAAACCATGTTTCCTCTCTGGACTTTGTTTCTTCCATCAATGAGATGCAGAAGTCATTGTTTATAATAGTACTCCTATTTTTAAAAAGCTGTCCTTTGAAAAGTATACGTCAGCTTGAAATGGAGGCTAAATAAATGGGTAAAAGGAAAGATTTGGAAATGCAGCAAATGAGGATTTCACTGATTGTATAATCAGATAACATTAAAGGAGCTAGCTTATTCTGACAAATTATTTGTGGGCCAAAACTGTGGTAACTAAGGACCCCAAATCCCAGAAAATCAAGGTGTCTGCTGATCATTTGTAACTAATCCCTTGGACCAGTTCTGTTGTTGGCAAATTTCTATTCAGGGAAACCAAAGCAACTCGTGTCACTTGGCATGGGTGGTACATGTCATGTCTCAAGGGGAGGAAACCCACCTGGATGATGAAAGATTGCTGCGAGACTGGCAGTTGATTGCTGAGTAAGAATGCAGTTCACCTTCACCTTGTGTGATATTGACATGAAATACAGAAGGGGAATTCATTCTTTTCCTACTGTGTGTGTGTGTGTACTTCCCATCAAGAACAGCAGCTCTCTGTCCAAGCTTCTCTTCCTCCCGATCTACTTGGCCCCCATCAGCTGGCTAAGTTGCTGGCCAGCTCTGACTCTGGGCAGTTGGCTGATGTCTCAGGCCCGAGTGCCATGTCTTTAAAATGAAAGTGATGAGCCCTGCCCTGGGCACATCATTGGATTAGTTTGAGGTTCAAATGAGATCAGCAGTTTTGTGAAAATACTTTATATAATACTTTATGTCCCTGTCACAGATGTTAGTCCTATTGACAATTTATTGAAAGGAAGTCATATAATATCACTTTGCTTCATAGTCCAAAAAAGGCTTAAATAAAGGCTCCTTTAAACTGGCAGGGGTTGTGGTGTGCTAAGGGTCCTTTGAGTTTACCCAGACACAGGCTGCCTCAGGAGTGATAGCAAAAAATGCCATGTTCCCCTCCTAGTCCTGCGAAAGTCTTAATGCCACATTGTGCATGGGACTGATGCCTGTGGATAAGTAAAATGACAACTTATAATAGCCGTTTTAATCTTTCATTTCATTGAGGATGTGCTGAAACAAGCCCTTCTGTGTTGGGAGTGCTTGTTTATTAGCCGGTACCCTGACGGAAACTAAGGAGATCCCGCCCTCCATCTGTCTCCCAGAGGGTGTGCTTTTGACTGGACACCCACTGAAGATAGTGGGAAGCCCCTCTGGCAGCACTTCCTTTGACGCTCACCTGATTCTTGGATGCCTGGATCTGGATCCGTGGTGCTGTGTGTACTCATGCTTAATGAGATTGAGAAGGGGGCCCATGTGGACCTGTTTTTGAGAGTCTCTTAGACCATTGTTGGTTAAGTCTTCTGCATGCTTATAATCTTTTGTAACATGTGTGCTGCTCAGAAATGCTTCCTGTTGTCTGCTGCCTGTGGCCCTGTTTCCCTGCTGAAGTTTTCTCTCAGTTGGTTCTAAAGGGATGCCAGTGAGGCAGATTAGAGGCCTGTATGATTTCTTTCAAAAGAAAATGACTACTTTTTAAAGTGCTCAGGTGTTCATGCAGGTTATGTTAACCAGTACAGATAATTTACATCTTGATTGGTTTTGAATTTTCTGCATCTAGAATCCAGTGGTGAGTGGAGAAGACAGAACTTTCCCTGTCTTGTTAGTCTCTTGACCATGCCAGTTACGTAAGTCCTGAATGAGTCAGGCATTTCCAGGCTTCCGTGTGCATCCCTGTTCTCCTTTATTGTGTGCCTTTGTAACTTCCCGTGTAGGCTCCTGAAATTAACTCTTCGGTTCATGTTGAAGTCTGTACCTGATGTCAAAGCATAATTAGGGATTGAATATTCATAGTATGAAAGAATTCCTTGTAGGATTTCTTACCGGTTTTTGCTAGTAGTCTCCTTATTAAAAACAGTGTTCCTGCATAATGAACTATTCCTTTGTAGGAGGTGAGAAGGGACTGGAAGTGGTACCCTCCAAGAAATGGAAAGGTGAAAAGAGCTTCAGATTACTTTAAAATACTTAGTGCTTGATTGTATAAGTAGTTTCACAGTAGGGGAAGAAGGGCAGGAAATTTCAGCCTCAAAAAAAAGATTCTTAATGAGACGGACCAACCCAGTGGCTGCAGCAAAGCGCCCAAACATCGCTGTGAAGCTGTTGCAGGAGTGCACAGTGTTTCATTCGGTTGCAGGTAGAGTTGCTTTGAGTTGGAACCCATCCAACCGCACCTGATACCATTTACCAGTCATCGTACCAAAAAGACTTGGTTGATGGTTAGCATTTCAGGGGAGCTAACTATGATCAAGAACCAACGGTACTGAATGAAGACGTCCAAGCTGCACTGGAGGCATCAGCGGAGAAACAAGGCTCCAGAAGTTGATGGAGTACCATTGGAAATGCCAGCAAGCTGAAGAGGCACTATACCAAGAAATTTGGAAGACAGCTACTTTGCCAACCGTCTAGAAGAGATCTGCATTTGTGTGCACTACAGAGAAAAGTGACCCAACGGAATGTGAAAGATTATCAGTATCATGAATATCTGAGATGTAGTCAGTTGCTATGGCCTTTCTAGCCATAATGCCTTATGTGATGTATTATACTTTCTAGCCTCTGTGCCTGTGGTTGTAATCCCAATTTGGAGGGAATTCTTTTTTATGCTAATGGGCAGAAGTAAGGTGGGATGTATTCTGAGTCTCCACCTTACTAGAGGGTAGGAACCAAGTCACCATTGTTTTGTTTCCTTGGGGGTGTGATCTGCTGAAAGACAAAAAAACGACACTTCAGTAGAAGAGGGTTGTCTCAGAAGCAGAACAAAGTGAATTCCTGGGACCATCGAGAAAGAAGATCCACCCGCCAAGAATGCTCAAAATCCCTGCCCAACGTGGCGAGGCCACACTGAGGCAGAACAGCGGCCAAAGCCCGGAGACCCTGAGAATGGAGCATAGGAGCAGTGTGGAGACCACGAGGCTGTGAGCAGAGCAGTGGGTGGACTTCCTGGTCCATAGAGACAGAGGCCAAGGGACCACTTGGCTGAGAAGGTGGAGGGCCAGAAAGAAACCTGGCTGCAGGCTGAGGAGAGGTTGCTGTGGACCAATGTATCCTTACTCATCAGCAAGTTAACTTTCATAGTTAACTCTCATAACTGCACGTTTTATCTGTCCATTACAAGTAATCATCAAACCCAGCAAAGAAGTAGAGTGCTGTGGGAAGGCAGTTGGTGTCAGCACAGGTGAAGAAGTACGGAGGGTGGAGGTGCGTCTGACTGCTTCTTATGGCACGTGGCCTTGGGCTGGTGACGGGTTGGACTCTCTTCTTTCGTGTAGCAGAGGAAGTCAGCTATGGCCCATGGCTTTTCCACAGTATCACATACAGGCAGACTATTTCTGATCATCCAACAATGGTTGGAGGAGTACATCCGCAAGGAGGTACCAGAAACTCAGGCTGGGTTCAGAGAGGACATGTAATGAGGGATGTCATTACTGATGTCACATGGATTTTGGCTAAGAGCAGGGAATACCAGAAAGATGCTTTTACCTTTGTTTTCCTGACTATGCAAAGTCACTGGCCTGTGTGGATCCTACAAACTGAGAAGAATGGGAATTCCAGAACCACCCTTCATTGTGCTCATGTGGGACCTCTATGTAGAACAACAGAAGTACCAGTAGTTGTTAAAGCAGATGTGCCTCAGACTGTATCCCTTTCACCAGACTTATACAATCCAGATGCTGAGCGATTGTCTGGGAAACGATGTAGGACGCAGAGAGCAGCATAAGATGGAAGGAAGCCTCATTAATAGCCTGTGGTACATAGATGGAAGAAGCTTGCGTGCTGAAAGTAAAGAGGACCCGAAGCACTTACTGATGAGGAGTACATCTGGTTCACGTGTGAACATCAAGTACTCACAACTGGACAAGGAAAGCAGTATCACGATAAACAAAATACTGAAGCCGAGCTTTCCCCGTGTGCTTGGATCCCTAGCTAACGCCCATGGAAACTGCAGCCAGGAAACCAAACAGAGTACTGTGTTGCACAATTTTGCTGAAAATACTTCTTTAGAGTGCTTTACTGGTGTTCAGTAGCCAGGCCCTAGCAAGTAAGTTGCTTGCCTTGAAATTATTTCTGTAGTAGTTTTTTTTTACGATTAAAAACTACAACAGAATTTACTTGGTTTCTTGTGTTCACACACTTTTCCTTTTAACCAGATTCATCTTCCTAAAATAAGATACTTCTTTTTTCTTTCTTTCCCTTCAAAGTCCTTTTCCAGAAAGCTTTAATGGTTCCCCTCCCCACCTGTAACTTAGCAGTCAGAATTCATTCTTCCTGCTTCTCTCCCTGCTTTTATCCGAGCTGGTTCTCTGAGTTCCTTTCACTCCTTCTTCTACCTTTGCTTTGCATCTCTCATTTATGTAAACACCCTCCTTCCTTCCTCCTCTATTCCTCTGGGCCTAAAGCAGAGCCCACATTCCACTTTGTTTAAAAGCCTACCTGGGTTTTAAACCCAAAGCAGGACTTTCTCCTTTCTTTTGTTGTGTTTATTAGCTTCTTTTAATCTTAGTGTTAATTATTTTATGCAAATCTCATTTATATTTCCATCAGGTTGCAGATTCCTTAACAGTAGCTCTGAAGAAATTTCACCTTTCTGGGCCTCCCGCTGGTGCCTCCCGTGGGTCGGAAGCCCATGGTTGTTTATGTTACACAGTCTGGATCTTTTTCTTCAGGTTTACCCTTGCTTGTCCAGAGAACAATAGCAAGAACGATTGTGCTACAAGAAAGCATTGGCAAAGGTCGCTTTGGAGAAGTCTGGAGAGGAAAGTGGCGGGGAGAAGAAGTCGCTGTGAAGATATTTTCATCTCGAGAAGAACGCTCATGGTTTCGTGAGGCAGAGATTTACCAAACCGTCATGCTACGTCACGAGAACATCCTGGGATTTATAGCAGCAGACAATAAAGGTTGGTGACACTTGCTTTTCCTTATACCGAGTGTAACAAAATTGACTTGAGCCTCTTTCTGGTTGTAGCCGCTCTACATTTTCCGTTTGGGTGAGAAGTCAGTATTTGTCATATAGATTAGGCTCACCAAATTAGTCAGATTATATTAGAAACCTGTAGAAACAGGAACTCCTTAAAGATAGCCTTGACTCTTGCAGCATGTTTCTAAATAAAACTGTTGTATAAAATGTAAATAACTGGAGGGCAGTGGGTGCCTGTGCTATTTTAGTCCAAAACCGTTATTGCGCATAGTCATAATAATCGAGAAAGACACATAAACCAGTTCACAATTTGGGGGTAGGGCAAGGCTCAGATGTTCCTTTTCATTAGGGTTCCAGTAGGGTTCCATTGTGCTCCCTTAAGTGGATCCATCTTTTAAGTAAATTCATTTAGATAGGAAAAGATGGTTTGTCAAAAATATAAAATAGCCTTGCCATTAGTAACCATGAAGTAAACTCAGTTAAATAGGGGCATGGGGGAGGAGGTTGATCTAACAGTCTTCATCACGGCTAACCTTTGTGTTCTGTGGACACTGCTTCCTGTAGCTAAAGATGTCCGAAGCTTAGGGGTCAGATCAGATGCTGAAGAAAACAGGGAGGCTGAGTCGTAGCTGGGGAGAACCCTGGAGTCACCAAAAAGTGACTGCAGACACTACTTCCGATGCTCCTTTCACTTTCTTAGCTCCTGTCGAAACCTTTGTGCCCACAACTATTCTCAATAGCCCTGGCCACAGACGTGCTTCCCCTGCAGCTGGCACCCCACCCGCGGGTCTTACGGCCCATGAGACACCTCCAGACATGCACATTCAGAACTCCACTCTCAGCAGCCCCATCCCCGTTAATAGCACTTCCCAACTTCCCTCTTTAAAAGGGCAATCACCTTTTGTTTACCTGTCTGGAACTGTATTCAGCGACGTTTTCAAAATACAGTTCTCTGTCTTCAGTTGGGGAGTTGGTGATGTGTATGTTTCTCTCTTATTTTCAAATTGACTTACCGCAGGCACGGGTTACTTGTTTATTTTCTAGGCTTTTATTTGCGGAAAAATTCAATGAGAGAGAAAAGTTGAGAATCCGATTCTGGCCTTCCACCACGTTTATCTTTAACGCCCCATCAACTTTTTTGCTCCTGACTGAGTTGTCTTGAAGTTGGCCCCAGATAATATCTTCCTGTTCATAAGTATTTTAAATTTGGATTTCTAAATGAAGTTTTTTTCCTTTGAGGAACATAATTGCACTACCATTTCTACTTTTTTAGATGCCATCAAATACCTAATTTGGGTTCATATTTTCTTTTAAATGTCTTAGGGTTTTTGTTTTTTAAAAACAATTGCTTATTCCAATTAGGGTCCAAAGTCCATATAGTGTATGAGTTGATAGTTCTTACAAGTATTTTAAATTTCTAGATTCTAGATTCCCCCTTCTTTTTTTCTCCATATACAGTTTATTTGTTGAAGAAACTATACTGCTTGCCACATTCTGGATTTTGCTGATGGAATTTTCATAGTTCCTCTTAACCTGCTTCACCGTATTTTTCTGAAAACTGATAGTGCTGGGGGCTGAATCTGACTCAGGTTTTGTTGTCTTCCCCAAAAGGCATAGTAAGTTCATTGTGTGCTTCCTCTTTCATCACAGGATGAAACACATCTTTTATTTTCATTATCTCTTTTTATGATGGTAGAGACAGTGATGAATGTGGCTAAATTAGATTATTGATGTTAACAATAATACCATTATGATTAGTTAATAATCAATAAAAACTCATTGTTCCTTAAAGCACAAAAGCAGTGCTCACAGTGTGCCAGAATCCTTAGTTCGTATTTTCTTTTGCACTTGACACCAGTTAGCTGCATCCAAATTTTCATTAAGTGCTGTATGACCCTGGGTTCTTTTGCTTGTTTGTTTATTCATACTCTTAATAGTTAGCTTTGTTTCCTTGAACTCTTACTCTTTGATTTGTATAAAGGCTCTAATTCTACAAATAGTGATTACTGTACTCCCTTAATGATCAAATCTGCATTTCGAGGCCTAACCCTGCCCTTTATAAAGGCATGTCTCAAGTTGCAAGCATACAACCCGGGGTGCCAAGAGCTGGTACTGCGTCACCTCAGTTTTCTCGTTGTGTTTGTTCAAGCACTGTTTGGGCTGGTGCTGTCATCTGGTGGTCACCATGGGAACTAGCTGACCCAACTACTGGCTTTTCCCAGCTCTTCTTTGCTTCCCTGTTAGGGGCAGCATAGTTAGTTATACATTGGGCTGCTAACCACAAGGTCGGCAGTCTAAACCACCAGCCATTCCTCGAGAAAAAGACGAAGCTTTGTACTCCTGGAAAGAGTTGCCGCCTCAGAAACCCACAGGTCCAGTGCTAGCTACTCTGTCCTGTCGGGGAGCAGGGACTCAGAATGCCCCTGCAGTGAATGTGGTTATGGTGAGAAGGACACTGCCCAGGACCCAGTCCTGCCACCCTTTTCCCTTCTCTTCATTCCTCCGCACTCAGGCCGTTCTGCCTCAGGCAACCCTTCAAATGGGTACCCTCTTCCTTCTGCCTACCTTGTCAGTTACCTCACGAACATCGCTCCTTCCACCTGCCCGTGTGCTGTTTATTTGCCGACTTTGTTGAGCCCTTCAGAGTCCAGGCATGGTTGACCAGTCAGTGTGCACATAGGCTCCACTGATAGCAGCTAGATCAAGAAGCAGAAAAGGGCTACGTTTGAACAGTCAGTTTTTAGAATCACGAAGAACAAGTTTATAAAGAACCTTAATCTGACCCTAAAGGCATCTTCCAAAAAAGTTCCCATCTCCTTCCTTTATCTCTTCTCATCAGAATTCCAGTTCTTCAAGTAACAGCAGTCAAATATAAAGGTGATCTTATATCACTTTGGGTTTTGTGGGTTGGAGGGTTTTTTTGCCATTGATTGGAAAGGAAACAGCACGTATTAAATTTTTGCGTGTGAGATACTGTGCTTCATTGCTTTAAAAATCTATTTTTAAAGACTTCTTAGCAACCTTGCAAAGTAAGTCTTGTTCTTGTATAAGACAAGAAACAGAAGCTTGGTTGGTTAAGAAATGTGTCCAAGGTTACATCTTCAGTAACATCCTGGGCCTGAATTCCAGCCCAGGTCAGAGTGACATTAAGTGTGCAACTCTGCGGAGTCCCCCTGCCTCCTTGTATTGTCGTCATGCGCTGTTGAACCACCATTTCCTCAAACATGTACCATACCAGATGTTTCCCATATTTAAATTTTAAGTTAGATAGGATTTTGTGGACCTGCCTAGGAGTCTTGCCAGAACCTTCCCCACTGCGACACCATCTCTTTGCTGAGGGACTTTCAGAACTGCCTGTCTGCACTCTGGTTCAATCCCCAGTCCTTTTCCTCCCCTCTGACACTTCCAAACCTATCGCAGCTTCCCCAGGGGTCAGTGGTCCTGCTGTTTTTGATGTTTTTCTAAGAAACCTTAGGATCATAATCGGCTGACTCTGTGACCTATATGCATGTATAATGTCACTAAAGCTCATCAGTTCATCGATACATACTTTCAGTTTTGTCTCATTAATATTTCATTCCCACTGACCACACGAGGCCCTAGATAGAGCTCCTTTCTCCAGCCTCTCTCTCCTCCTCTTGTTTTCCTTCTCTCCCGAAACAACCTGCACATCAGGCCTGAGCCAGGCACTTTCACAGGCATTAAGAGCCCAGCTCTGTAGGCTAGAGACGTTTGTGTAGGTTATTTATGTGGGCATGTTATGTTTAAGAAAAATAATCCTTGATTCAGCTCAAGAATTGAAGTCTTATTGCGAAACTCTGAAGGATATGTATGTGGATGTATCTTGAAAAGTATAAGACACAGTACAGATAAAAAAAATGAAGGAAATACATACAAACCAAAGGTGGGTAATATGTTGCAGGTATGTGGTTCAGGATTGATTGTAAAGGTAAACGAATCATTATAATCCGACTGGAACATTTGTTTGTTTTGCAGACAATGGTACATGGACGCAGCTCTGGTTGGTTTCAGATTACCATGAGCATGGATCTCTCTTTGATTATTTGAACAGATACACAGTTACTGTGGAAGGAATGATAAAACTCGCTCTGTCCACAGCAAGCGGACTTGCCCATCTTCACATGGAGATTGTTGGTACCCAAGGTAATTCTTTAAGCCATCCTATTGTTAAACATTATATTCTAATAAGCGTCATGTCTATTTTTGTGCCTTCTTAAAGGTAGCAGCCTGTCTTGTGATTTTTGACAGCGGTCAGTTGTGTGTCTCGCGGTGAAGGGAGTGTGTCAAGTGAAAGGTGAAAGTGGTGTGTGCTGGTTCCTGAGGTAGAGAGAAGGCGATCTCACAGCCGTTGTACAGTGGGAAATGATATCACTTCCGGTACGAGTTTGGGGAGGCGCGGTTTTGTGTCACGTATGTCAGGTGCCATGGTCCCCGTCTGTACCCCTCTTTCTAGGCCTACCCTACCGAGTGCACAGCTTCAGGTCACATCTCGGCCAGCCTCATCTCTGTAATTGTCATCTCTTTTAAGTAACAGCTTTGAGAGATGATTCAATGCCATGTAATTCACCACTTAAAGTACACAAGCACCTTCCCAGAGTTGTAGCACTCTTGCAGCAGCCACCTCCCCGGCCCATTTCCTAAGCCCTGCACGTCCACCAATTGACTTTTACTCTCTGTCTGTGGATTGCCCTACTCTTGACATTTTTTATAAATGAAATGAAATCATACAGTAATCACACACTATGAGATATCTGTGCCCGGCACAAATATTTCTTTCATTTAATATGTCTATGGTTATTTTTGGGGGCGAGGGGACTTCAAAAAGTTCATGGGGAAAAAATGAAATGAAAAGATACTGGATTTTTTTCCTGTGAACTTGTGTATTGCTTGAATATGCTGCATGTTGTAAACCCGCTGATCTGGATGTTCAGTGGTGTCTTTGTAGCTTTTGAGTACTGCGTGAACATTAGTATACGGGTTTTTGTGCGGACATGTTTTTCATTCTCTTTGGGTGTATACCTAGGAGTAGAATTGCTGGATCTATGAACATTCTGTTTTGAACCAGTTAAGAAACTGACAGGCTTTTCCAGAGCGACTCCACCATTTCCTATTCCTACCAGTGGTGCACGGATCACGGTTCTCCTTGTTGCGCATCTTCATCCTTTTTCACAGTCCCTTCCCAGGTGTTTTGTATTTGAGGTGGTCCTCTGGAAGTGAGCACATTCCAATGGACAGGAAAGGAAAGGGTCCATGTACTTGGGTTCCTGGGCAGGAAGTGGGAATACATGACTAGCTTGCCAAGTCTTGGATTCCTTAGACTTACAGGCTTTTGGAACATTATTTGGGATGTCTTATGTCTGTTTTCTTCAAAGAAATGAACTTTCAGTAACTTTGGCTAATGTTTCGCTTGAGGTTGAGTTTGGTAATTGCCTGGGTGTTGCTGGTGATCTGGGCTGGAGTAGAAAGAGAGTCTTTTGAACTTGAAGTTGAGGCTTGGCCTCGGCATTACCTTTTAGCCAGCTTTGTTTAATTTTTGTTTCTTCAGGAAAACCAGCCATTGCACATAGAGATTTGAAGTCAAAGAATATCTTAGTCAAGAAGAACGGGACTTGCTGTATTGCAGACTTGGGATTGGCAGTAAGACACGATTCAGCCACGGATACAATTGACATTGCTCCAAACCACAGAGTGGGAACAAAAAGGTAAACCTATTAATAATTGTTTAATACCTTGTGAAATCTATTTCTTTTTTCCCTCCTTCTCACATGTGAGTGTGTACACACACACACACACACACACACACACACACACACCTATCTCCTGAGACTCATATGTGTGCCTTATTAGATTGCCCACAGGTAGACGATCTCATCCATGGTCTTGCCTACCCTGAAGCCAAAGCTTACCTGACTTACAGATGCCTGATGATGAAAGGTGTCCCTTCCAGAAAATAGGATTGCTGCTTATCTTAATTATAAATGTAATAGTATTTAATGTTGTAGAGTGTCTATTTACATGTCAAGCACATTAATAGTGCTATCATGTATGTTATCTCAGTTTCTTAGAGTCTTTGGCATGTCCTGCGCCAAGAGCATATTTTCGCCACCATCTCCCTAACCCATCCTCCACCCTTCCTCTCATTCTGGTGGCTGCTCAGGAAATAGTTGTCGCATTCCTGAACGCTTAGTAGGTTGGTTTAATGACCACTAAGGCACAAATGGCAACGTTGCCATGTGGGTGTTAAACCACATGCCAGTTCTGTCAGAAAGCTGACGAGCTGACATTTGAACCTGGGGCTGGCTGGCTTCAAAGCTCCTGCTCTTGCTGCGTGCGTCCCAGCATGCTGCCACACCGTGTCTTCACCCCTGCCCAGCTGTTCATGCTGAATTCATAGTTTCTGCCTTCTGGGATTCTCAGAACTCTTGACTAGCTCATGCAGCCAGGACAGTGGTTGCCACAGCTCTTTACAAGTCCCGCCGTCTGATCTGAAATGTCTGAATCCACAGCAACCCTACCATGTGGCATACGTGTGCGGAGCGACACTCATTTTCACTCGGTGGAGTGTGTCCCTCTGTTCCTTTTATCTTGTTGCAGTGAGAAGACTTCGATGTTAAAGTATATAATCCCTGCATCATACATGGCAAAACAGGTGGTGTATGTTAAGGCCTTTGTAGTAGTCACGATTGTCTATCTGTGTCTTTCATTGGAAACTAACGCCCTAAGCTAGCTTAGCATGAAACTGCTGTTTTAGTTTTTTATGGGATTCAGTTGACAGTTAATTTTCACGCTAGTGTGAACATCTAGTATTTTTCTTGAGTCTAATGTAATCTGTTATATATTTTACCTACATATCTATATAGTATAGAGAGATGTCTGAAATGATGTTCCTCAAACAGTTAACCATGTGTAGTAATAATAGGATGATTGGGGATTTTTTCGTTCACTTTTTATCTTCACAAAACCAAACTCTGCCATAGAGTGGCTTCTGGCTCATAATGATGCTGTCAGTTGGGATAGAACTGCCCCGGGTTTCCAAGACTGTCACGCTTTATGGGCGTAGAAAGCCTCGTCTTTCTCTTCAGGAGCCTCTGCTGGTTTGAACTACTGACCTTGTGGTTAGCAGCCCAACTTGTAACTACCATGCCACCAGTCTCCTCTTTTTATTTTAGGACATTTTAAATAATATGTAAGAAGCATACTTTTAAAGGCAGTAGAAGCATCTTCAAAGGTAAAGGTTGTACAGTTGGTTAATTTTTCACATTCTATAAAATAAAATACTGTCTTCTCTTTTAGGTACATGGCCCCTGAAGTTCTAGATGATTCCATAAATATGAAACACTTTGAATCCTTCAAGCGTGCTGACATCTATGCAATGGGCTTAGTATTCTGGGAAATCGCTCGACGATGTTCCATCGGTGGTAAATTGCTTTCCCTTTCCCAACAACTTGTCCCCAAAAGAAGTTGTTCAAGAGTTACTTTCTTTTTGATTGGTTGCAATGACACAGTCAACCGTGTGAGCTTGTTCTACAGCTGGTGGCCGAGCGAGGGTGCCTGAGAGAATGAGGGACAGCACATGGCGTGCAGATGCACAGCTTTGTCCTGTTGTCTTCTTTTCTGTGGCCGCCCACATCTTGGGACACATCTGATCCTGCCCTCTTTTATCTTAGAGCAGGGGTTCTCAACCTTCCTAATGCCGCAACCCTTAATATAGTTCATGTTGTGGTGATCCCCAACCATAACATTATTTTCATTGCTACTTCATCACTGTCATTGTGCTACTGTTAGGAATTGGGCGACCCCTGTGAAAGGGTCATTCGACCCCCAAAGGGGTTGCGATCCACAGGTTGAGAACCACTGTCTTAGATGGTTGTTATTTAGAATGAATGACAGATAAGCCACCTAGGAGATGTTTTTTTTACGTGTGTATCTGGTCATACTGATAGTTTTTTCCTTGAGACTGGGGCTGCTTGCTCCCACATGATACTCTTACCTGAGGAATCCTCATTCCCTAACTTGGGAGTAACTTTGGATCGTGTCAGAGATGGGCGTCTTGGTTCGGTCTCAAACTTCTGCTTGTGTGGTTGTTTGGTATATGTCACACAAATAATTTAAAAAAATAATGAGTTCCTACCCCTTCTTGGTGGGTGGGGTATTCTTTTTAATCTTGATGATAGCCTTTGCATCCAACTTTAAAGATAAGTGTGTTTTAGCTTTTAGATACTCATTCTGGACACCTGTGAATGTTGACTTCTGAGACACTGTAGTCCAGGGCGCCTGCATTTGACAAAGAGACACAGGCCACAGGCTTTTGAGGCAGCAAGAAGTGGCATCTATCTCTGCATCGTAGTAAATGTGGAATGTTCTAGACAGATGCAAATGGGGGAAGAGATTTGTACCACAGATTGACTATAGAATTCATGCCTCCGAGGCTGAGTGTGTATTCCCCTCTGCCCTACAGAATGAGGTCTCAGTTGGTGCCCTGATTGGGGGAGGAAATGTCAGTCTTACCCTCGCAGCTCATAGTCAGCCATCATCACAACCATCTTTGTTGGTCCCTTGGCAACAGCTCGTTTCAGGAATTAATTTTTTGTTTTTTCTTGAACCGTTACAGGAATTCATGAAGATTACCAGCTGCCTTATTATGATCTTGTACCTTCTGATCCATCAGTTGAAGAAATGAGAAAAGTTGTTTGTGAACAGAAGTTAAGACCAAATATTCCAAACAGATGGCAGAGCTGTGAAGTGAGTGTTTCTGTTGGATATTTCACAAATTTCTAAACGGCTTATTAAAGTGAAACTTTTTCACTTTTCTTTAAGGAAAAGAGTCAAAAGAATGTTCTTTCCCATTGCAATTAAGCCAGTGACTAAAAACAGAATCATAGAACTGGCCAGCATAAAAATCTGATTATGATTCTGTTTTTATTTTTAAAAATGAAGGATTTAGACAAATCTGAAGGTGGTATGTTTTATTGATCTAATTGCCATGTGACCTCTCACCAGGAATTTGTGGGAAATCTTCCCAGCAGCATCCACGCTGCTCTGTTAACGTCAACTCTGAGAAAAAGTTTCAGAAGTGTTTACTTAGTTCTTAATGTAAAGTCATCATGAGACTGATTTTATTTAGCTGGTCCTTAATTGCTAACAGTTAACCATTGTTACAGCCTTTCCCTCAGTGTGGAAGTCTTTCTTATTCAGGAGGGATGGAAAACTGGTCTTGAAGGAGTTGATTTGGCATCTTGAAATCACACATTAGGACTCCATAGAACTCTCGGCCAGCGAGGTCCCAGCTGCTTAAAACATAATCAGATATCCAGGCCCAGATAGGACACGTGACAGCGTGCTCGAAGAATTTGCATATGACAATTTAACAAAAGAGAGAGGCACCAGATTTTGTCTTTTTAAAACTTGGTCTGAAAACCATTAAATTCAGATTTGAAGTACTGTTTCACTCTTTCAATAATTAGAGCAGATTAGTATCAAACAGATGGCTTTTAGAACTAAAACAGTTAACAGTGAACATTAAGAGCACTCTTGCAATTTGAAGCTTCCATACTATCTTGCTGAATTAATGTCACCGTTGTCGTTTCTTTCATTCGATTTCTACGTGGTCCGTACTAATCTGGATTGTGCTGTGTCGATCTCTCCGTGGGTGGAGCACATCAGGAACAGGAAACACGACATATGCATACCTGCGTCTCTTTCCCTTCACGGGGGCCTGCTCACTCAGGGCTGGTTGCTCTGTGGGCTCCCTGTCTGTCCACTTGTCCTTTGGGGACTTTGCTCACCTCTCATCCTTGGTTCCCTTTGCCCTTCTCCCTTCCGGAATTCTCTGTATGCCTGCTTTCTGCTTTACTCATTTACTAACTACTCTCAGGTCTCTGCTCAGATGTTCCCTGGTCAGGCATAGCTCCCTTTCTACCTGTTTCCAATGGCCCTTTCCTTCCCCAGCATGCTGAGCACTTAGCATGCCTGACATATTTCACTCACTCACTTGCTGGTTACAGAACCTGCCCCATTGGAAGGAAGCTTTGTGAGGACGGGCTGTTGTCTTTCTTGGCTTTGTTAACCCCTCACACCGAGTTAGAATGGTATCTGTGAGTGTATATGCACATGGTCTTCAGATCTGGAAAGGAATGTTCATTTCTAGGGCATGTTGCTGAAATACTTCTGTAGATTTCTTCTCTGCCCTTTCTTTGTCTTATTTCTCTAACTTTGGCTAGCTATTTGGATGTGGGTGTTCCTGAGTAGATCTACTACTTTTCCCTCCTGTTTTTTATTCTCAATTCTCTGGGAGATTTTCCAGCATTCCGTTTGTCTTCCACATGAGCTATCTTCATGGAATTTCAAGGAGCGGGCTTTTGTTCTCTGGATGCCTGGTTTGTAGCCTCCTGTTGGTGACCAGACAGCCCATAGCAATACCGGAGGAAATCCACAGCCAGGGAAGAAACGAGAAAGCACGTGTGGTCAGTGTCTTCCCTCCCTGAGGATGGGAATGATAAGGGGTTTGCGTTCCTTCCTTCCCTGAGCCAGTGTCTCACCAACAGTGCCTTTACCTGTTCTCTTCATTCTTGAAAAGGGGGCTCTGGAAGCTGATGGGAAGCCTTGCGAATGGAGCCCATCAACTGGCCATTAGGGTGGCCCTTGAAGAACCACTGCTTGCAGTCCCTGGGTCTCTCCCCATGGACAGATCACGTCCTTGCAGGGGCCACTTCCGGTCTTCTGGAGAGATAGGTCCAAGTTGCTGCCCAGGCTGACAAGAAAAGCAGTTATTAGTATGTGCTTAGCACAGAACTTTCTGCCCTCCTCTTCCCCAGGCCAGAAAGCTCTGTTTCCCCTCCCTCGAGAAACAACAACTGTGATTTGCTGTCTCTTGCCTTCTGCTCTGGTGGAAGTGGGGCTGTGTGAGGTTGAAGGGCAGGTATGTGGTGGGATCCCAGCTCCTTCATAAGCATATTGTGAACTGATCCTTGCGTTTAGAACCAAGCTCCATCCCCACATGGCTCTGAGGTAGTGGTCGTAGCTAGTGCCTTGGTTTGCTGGGGAGTTCCAGGCTCCTTCTTGCTTTGTCCAGTGCTGGGTTAGGGTTTCGTTGGTTAGGTCTGCTGCGCTCTCCCCGGGCCATCTGCTTCCTGCGGCTGGCCCCGGCCTGCTGGTAGAGTTCTGGGTGGTTTCTGCTCGTCGTTCTGAAACAGAAGGCCGTGCCCATCCTGCCTTCAAACAGACACTGCACGGGCAATGGTTCTTTCCCAAACCCATGGTGCACGCCGTCAATCGTTTCTCTCTTCTTTCCTTGCAGGCTTTGAGAGTAATGGCTAAAATTATGAGAGAATGCTGGTATGCCAACGGAGCAGCTAGACTGACTGCTTTGCGGATTAAGAAAACACTGTCTCAACTCAGTCAGCAGGAAGGCATCAAAATGTAACTGCAGCGTGGCCTGGGCTGTGCGAGTCCTTCAGCACCGCCCCTGGCTTTTGTGCCGGAGGTCCGTTCTACCTCACTGCGAGGGGACACAGGGTCGCTTCCTGTAGCAGCAGTGGGACCAGGTCAACTAAGCACTCCCCGGGACTTCTTGGATCCAGGAAGCAGCCGTGTGGATCCTTCCTGTGCACTATGGACGCTTCTGTCCCAGGGCAGCTGGAGATGTTGTGTAGTTGACCTTTATTTTCTATTAACCTGAAGCGTGCGTGCGCGTGCTTAAAGATGACTGCTGGTCTTAGCATTGGTAACTCTGCTGTGCTGCAGGTCATCTTTGGCAGTAGACGAGCTGGATTGCTGAGCTCCAGGAAGCACTGCTTCCTTTTAGAGAAAGTGACTTACTCCTGGTAGTACATTCTCAAGAGGATGCTGAACCACTAAAGTAAGAGTTTTCTTGAATCAGACTTTGAATGTACTGTTCTTAATTTTCAGGATTTTAAAACGAACCCATGAGTCTAAAAATGACCTCATATCACAGTGAGGAACATAATTTATGCAATCATATTTTGTATACGATTATTGTTCTTTCACTCATTCAGAACATTACATGCCTTCAAAATGGGATTGTACTATACCAGTAAGTGCCACTTCTTGTCTCTCTAATGAAAATTAGTAGACTTGCTTAAAGTCTCTGTGTTTTAAAACTTGATAGTGTTTGCATTTTGAAAGTTTTATTTATCTGGATAACCCACATTTTTTTCTTGTTTTAATTTTTGGAAGGGTTTTCCTGGTGTTTCGTTTGTATTCCATCTTTAAAATGCCTTTCTCCAACCAAACTGTGCTTGAACCACTAACGCAATGAAGTGTCGGTGACTAGCCGGCTGCCTCCGAGCGGGGTTGAGCATTCACACATCCAACGCCCCAGGTTCATTGTACTGTCTTAAGAATATATTTTTGAAAATCGAGTGGCACTCTCTAGATACCTATAGTACTTTAGTGTAAAATTTGTAGCATGCAGACTAGTTTCCATAAAAAGTTTGTCTAGCTACTTTGGAGTTGTGTGACATTCTGCAAGCCATTTTTTTCCCCCTTTATCTGATCAAAGGCAGTGTTATTTTTTTTTAAAGAAACTAATTACATTTAAAGTTGGCATGGTTCGTGTTAAATAGTAGACCTCTTTCTAGGAGGGTGAAGGTCATTCAGCATTGGACTAGGTAGATGACAGGTGTGCGAGGGTCTCCTTTGTTCTCGCCGAGTAAGCTCGATGGACTCTGTGACTTTGTAAGTAAGTGCAGAGGTAGTGCGGCTTTGAGGGTTTTGAGAAGGGCAGCTTTTAGTTCGGTCTTTCCTTAAGTGTGCAGGTATTGCACCTGCTGAATTTGCATAGCAGAGTAAGGAACTCGGCACGCCCCGTCCATATTTGGGAGAGGTGGGAGCTAGGGGATGCATGGAGAATCTGTTCTCCATTTACAGATGTTTGCAGTCGAATGTTAAAGGCAAACTCATCATGGCCTCCTCAAGTGACATTGAGCTGAGCTTCTAAGAACTGGCTTTTAACTTCCAGTGCTATAAAGTCTTTGTAAGGGTTTCACATTTGTCAGGGTTTTTTAATCACTGTGATCTTGTTCTGGATGAAACAAAACTTACCAGCTGTGAGGCAAGACTTTGAGTTTATAGTGCTATCCATTGCCTGGTGAAAGGGTTAGCCTGACCTTTCCAGTATTTGGGCCCGTAAGAGAGAGTAGCCATTCACACCGACTGTGGTGCATTTTGAATAATGTCTTATTGCTTACACATGGTAAGAATAAATTTTAAAGACTTATTTGGTCTTAAAACCAAAGTGATCTTCGAACAATACCTTTTTTCAATTTCATGTGTTAAACAGCATGAGGAAGATGTGCATAGAGGCTATTTAGTATTTTGACTAAAAATTTGAGCTTTTTTTCCTGTAGTTACCATGATTTCATTGACGCAAGAGAATGAACCTGAGAGGTTTGCTTTCTAGTTGTCTTATGTTACCTGCTGAATTGCCGAATAAGCTCTGTGATCAGGTACTTTTTTTTCCTTTTGACATTTTTAAGCCTACCAGATCTGCTTTATGAAATCCAGGGACCAATGCATTTTATCACTAAAACTATTTTCATATAATTCTAAGAACATACCAAAAGTTCTGGTACATGATTTCCCACTTTCATTATAAAAGGTGGTCAACTTTTGCTGAAGGTATTCTAAATTAAAATCTCAGATTTAGCTACAACTATACTGTTCGTAACCTAGGTGGATGCAATGTACTTTTGATGAGTCAGGAAATTTTCTTAAAAGTTGGAATTTACTTTTAAATTTGGTCTACCTGACACCACAGCTAATTCTTTTTTTGGTTAGCAGTGAGCCCCAGTTGGCTAATACTGAAAATGAAAGTGACTTATAAGTGATGGAGCATGATTATTGTGGCCATAACTGCAGGTAAATTTGGCCTGAGTATTAATTTTGCCATTTGTAAACACAAACCTTTGTTTTTACTGCCTATCCTAAGATGCTTCGCCTCCCAAAGTCAACTTGGCTAAAACATCTGACTAATTGCCAGTCCGCTTCTGGCACATTTTTCCAGTGTGCCAGAGTAATGGAGATGCAGAGGAGTGGGTAGGACCAAGTGAGGCCTAGACACCCCGGGACCTTTTTTGATATGCAGGTCTGTGTTTGCCACCCTGCCCTCCTGCCAGTCCCTGCCTCGGAGACCATAGCCTTGCTGGCAGTGAAGAGCTGCTTTTGAGATATAGTGTGAGACAACTGGCAGAGGTTGTGGGGCACACTTCTGGTTCCTGGATGCTGCCAGGTAGGGCTGACCCTCCAGAGCCCTGCCTTGACTGCAGCCGTGGAGGAGTCGGGGTGGCAGTGAGGTTGCGGCAGAAGCTGTGACTGGTGAGTTGTATCCTCTCTCGGACCTGGCAAGCCCTGCCTCGCCGAGCCTGTGCTTCTGCTGTAATGACAGTGCTCAAGAAGTGCCTTGAGTCCGTGTAGAATGCCTTGGCCATCGGGGATGTCAGAATTCAGATCTTCCTGGGACGTCTATGTGGGCCACTTAGCTGTTTTTCAGCCCTGAATTACTTTTGCTTTCTCTCTCAGAACAGTCAGAAACAGCTTTTTTTTTTTTAAATGGCAGCAGAATGCAAATAAAGATGCACAGTAAAATCTGTCTCCCACCACTAGACGTGTACTATCAGGAGCTGCTCTGCACCCGTGCACTGAACAAGGGTGGTGATTGTGAAGCAGCTGTGTCCTGACCATGGCAATGCCCTGGCTCCCGCGGCGGAGATTCCAAGTGATGGTTCTGTTACAGCCCGGCAGAGAGCGGCATTGTAGGGAACAGACTGCCGGAAGCTTCCTGTGTCTGCTCTGCATGCTGGAGTGCCACTGCTGTTGGCCCTCTGCAGGGGTCTGTGTGCTGGCAGTTCTCAGCCCCCGATGCAGTCTTCGTCTCTCATTGTAAACTTTGAAAAATGGGGTTAATAACATTCAGCCTGTTTGCTAAAGTTTGAAAAGAACTTCAGTGGATTTTCTTTTCTTGTTTGACCTGATTTGTGAACCGCGTGTCATGAACCCTGGTTTGATCGCCCTTTTCACATTGTGCCCACGGAACAGACGGTTCCAGGCGTGTTTGGTATTTCTTTTTTGTCAAGGAGATGCTTCAAAATGTCAATTGCTTTAAACTTAAATTACCTCTCAAGAGACCAACATACATTTACCTCACTGTGTATATAATGTTGAATATTTGTCAGCATTCTCCAAGTTTGCAGTTTTATTTCTATAAAATATGGGTATTATGTTGCTAAATGGCTCCAATGGTACTGTATTGTTGATATTTGTACCCCCAAATGACATCACACTTTACTTTCTGTTTTCTATCTTTTATTGTATGTGTGCACAATTCTTTTGGCTTTAGGTAGTATGTTATCTGCCCTTCCAGATATGTAAAGAAAAAACCCATATCCAGTTTTCTTTAAGTTGAGAGATTTTTGAGAAACTTGTAGAAGAGAGAAAAACATAAACTGCATTTCTCCATATGTTTTTTTAAATTATGTATTGTATTTGTAGTAGTACTATGGATGCATTGTAAATAGAAGCAGTTGAGTGATGCTATGTTAAGTCCTAACACTACAGTAGAGAAATGGAAGCAATGCAAATAAATTACTCTTTGCCCGATGTGCGAGTAGCATAATGTAAAATAGAGTGTGGGTATGCACCCTTCTCCCCTTCCCCCTCATCCACCACCCACCCTCACCCCCACCTAAAAGTGCCCCCCCCTCAGAAAAAAAGAAAAGTCTAGGTTGGTATGTGTTGTGAAATGTGATTGCTGTCAGGTGGTGCAGAAAGGGTCTTTGGGTTCGAAGAGAGCAGGCAGCCATGGTTGAGAAGGACCGCCTGCCAGAGATGCCCCAGCCAGTGTGGTGACCTCTCCCCACAGTGACGGGGCTGTCACCTGTGGATGGCTGGGCACCGATGCGACATTTATATTCAAGTGGTGGTGTTATTTTGGGTCTTTGATTCTTAGAGCTTTTCAATAATTTTCAAAGAAGAAAATTTCGTATTCATTCCTAATTTAAAGATAGGCATTTTTTTTAAAAGCTAAATTTGATCTGTTAGTTTGCTAGACATGAAAACTAGGGAAATGGTGGTAAAAGCGGGAAGGTGTATCCCAAAACACTCAACTGACAGGGGCCTGGGGGTGTTGCAGGTGAGATGGCTGTTCACGATCAGTCACTTCCTCCCAAAATCTGAACATAGGGATTCTGTTTCTTCTTCTTATGGTAAAAAGCAGGTTAGGGAAAGTGAGATTATTTTTAAATGACAGTTTCAGAGACGTAGCAGAATTAGATTTTAATAGGGTCTCTGGGCCGTTGGTGTTTCCTGATTCAGAGAAAAGCTTGTTTAGCATCTCTGTCCTGGGGGATCTATCCTGCAACTCTCCACCATTTGATTGCTGGGGACCTAACAAAAGTGGTCTGTTCTGGAAATGGAATAGGAACACATGATGGTGCAAAAGCTAGCCCACACCAACCTAAACTCACGGCCATCAAGCCGATAACGACTCGTAACCTTGCAGTTAGCACCCCAACTTGAAGTCACTCTGCCGTAGGGCATCGGTTCTCAACCTGTGGGTCGCGACCCCTTTGGGGGGGATGTCAAAGGACCTTTTCACAGGGGTCACCCAATTCATAACAGTAGCAAAATGATAGTGATGAAGTAGCAACAAAAATAATGTTATGGTTGGGGGCCGGTTACCACAACATGAACTGTATGGAAGGGCCGTGGCATCAGGAAGGTTGAGAACCGCTGGGCTAGAGGCACTCTTAAAGGATTTTGAGGAGGGGTGGACCGGGGAGATGATTGTGAGGATGGCAGAGGACCGGAGAGGGTTTTGTTCTGTTGTGCATAGGGTCGCTATGAGTTGGGATTGACTCAGCACCTGATATACTCCATACGCATTAGGAGGAGCCCTGGCAACATCGTTCATTAGTCATTGGGCTACCAACCACAAGGTCAGCAGTTTGAACCCTCCAACCGCTCTGCAGGAGAAAGATAGGTTGCTTGCTCTCAGAAGGAAATTCAGTCTAAGATAAACTAACAACAACAGCAACAAAAATAGATCCAGGAATGGGTTTTGGGTTTGCTTTAAATCCTAGCTCCAACTTAAGAACACTTAGTTCTTACATGTGGCCCTGCTTGATACTTGCCCTCAGGAAGGGAACACAGTAGATATGGGTGCTATAGCAAAATGTGGTAAAGAAATTAGATGGTGCCTGGTTATTAGATAAAATAGCATCTGGGGTCTTACAGGCTTGTCTCCAAGCAAGCAGCCAACTGAGATGTCAGCTAAGTCCACATGGAAGAAGCACACCCTTAGTCACCGAAGGACTAAACCATATCATCCAAAGTGGAAGGAAGGATTGGTATGGGAGCCTAAACTGAGCATCTGGTTTACAGCCAGGCTATGTATGAAGTGGGAGCCATGGTACATTTGTGGGGACCATATAGGAAATAAGCCTCCATGATCTCCCTCTGTCCATAATAGAGGGATGGGGGGACAGTGGTTACTAAACAGAGGGCATTGGAGGGACGAGTACAGAAGATCAAAGGGATAAACCTGACTTGAACAGTTAAAACCTTGTCGGTTGATCCCTCTGATGCATGCAGGGCTTGATCTGGTTGGTTTTCAACATTTTCTGTATTTTTGCTTTGTTTTGATTGGCTTGTTCATATTAGGGTTTATCTCAGAGATGTCGTCATTGGGGATCACCCTCATGAAGTTGTGGTATATGTTTTTCTGTTTTCAGTGCATGGAACCCAGGACTGATGAACCCTAAAGGAGCGGCAAGTACAATAAGGGTTTCAGGGTCAATAATACTGGTGATTGGGGCGTGTGTGTGTCTGTGTGTGTGTGTGTGTAAAAGGAAGACGATGTCAAGGCGTCTGGGAGGAAAAAAATGTTTTTGATTGGGGCGGAGTGTGTGTGTGTGTGTGTGTGTGTGTGTGTAAAAGGAAGACGATGTCAAGGCGTCCGGGAGGAAAAAATGTTTGGAAACAGACAGTGGTAACTGCAGTTCTGCTTGACGTGATTGAACTGTGGGGTGATAGTTCTTATGAACTCCCAATTAATCATACAAAAACTTCAGCCAGCTTTACTCCTCCCTAGAGGGTCACTCTGAGTCGTATCTGGCTCAATGACATTGAGTTTGGGTTTGGATATACAAGAGGGTTGCCAAAGGAACACAAGACCCCTAGTCACACTTTAATACCCTTACACCAAAAAGTCTGTATAGCAGAAAGTCACATTAACTGGGCAGCTTGTATTTTTGACTTGCTAAGTTTGACAGCCTTTACCAAATTAAAAGGAAGACACAGCCATACAAAGACGTCGGTCAAGGGTGAGAGCTGTGTGACTCATAATAGTAGACAACCGAGACCGTTGAAACATCCATCAAGTGGCGCAGATGGCTCTACCACTAACCAGGAACGGCTGCTGGCACGTGCTGGGCCGGGGGTCGATCTGAGAACCACCATGTGAAAGAAGCCTCATGAAAACGTCTGCAAACAGGCAGGTTTTTAAAAAATCATTTTATTGGGGCCTCATACAACTCCTAATCACAATGTATCCATCCGTCCATTGTGTCAAGCACAATTGGACATTTGTTGCCATCATTCTCAAGACATTTTCTTTCTATTTGAGCCCTTGGTATCAGCTTCTCAATTTTTCCCCTCCCTCCCTCCCTCCCTCCCTCCCTCCCTCCTGAACCCTTGATAATCTATAAATTATTATTTTGTCCTGTCTTACACGGACTGATGTCTCCCTTCACCCACTTTTCTGTTGTCTGTCCCCCTGGGAGGGGGTTATATGTAGATACTTGTGATTGTTTCCCCCGAACTTTCCTTTATCCTCCTGGTATCACTATTCTCATTATTGGCCCTAAGGGGTTTATTTGTCCTGGATTCCCTGTGTTTCCAGCTCTTATCTATACCAATGTACATCCTCTGGTCTAACCAGATTTGCAAGGTAGAATTGGGATCATGATAGTGGGTGAGAGGAAGCATTAAAGAACTAGAGCAGAGGTTTTCAACCTTCCTAATGCCGTGACCCTTTAATGCAGTTCTCATGTTGCGGTGAACCCCCCACCCCCCACCCCCAACCATACAATTACTTTCGCTGCTACTTCATTACTGTAATTTTGCTCCTGTTATGAATCTGTTGACCCTGTGAAAGGGTCGTTCGACCCCCAAAGGGGTCGGGACCAGGTTGAGAACCGCTAAACTACAGGAAAGTTGTATGTTTCATCGGTGCTACACTGCACCCTGACTTGCTCATCTCCTCCCCGCGAGCCTTCAGTAAGAGGATGTCCAGTTGCCTACAGATGGGCTTAGAGTCTCTACTCTGCACTCCCCCTCATTCACAATGATAGGATGTTTTTGTTCTTTTATGTGTGATACCTGATCCTACAGGCAGGAGATTTTAAGAGACTGGAAAATATACTAAAAGTAGACTTGGGTGTTGAAGCCACAACTATAAATTTACTAGGCATCGTTCACTGTATATAAGCAAAGGGGGAATTTTACCTCCATAAAACTGTTAGGGTGGTGGAGGGAGTCTCACTCGGCCATTCTTCTGCCTAGTGTGCTTGTCAGTCACACCACATAACCTCATGCCCCACACCCTGCTGCTTCTCTGTACAGACACTTCTCGCTGCTAACACCACACTCATCTTTCTCCTGTCATGCTAATGAATCATTTCACAGGTTCCTCTCCAACGTCATTCCCCTCGGTGGATCACACGTTGATTCCCTCGCACTATTTTCAATCACTTTGGCCTAACTTCAAATCGAACTCATCCCTGTGTCCACCCCCACCCCCTACCCCTCTGCCACCTTCCCTGTGGGAGACGAGGGTCCCTCCTCAGCCACAACCACCACCTCCCCCTCAGTGCAGACCGGTATGTGGCCTTGGCAGTGGGTGGGTTTCAGCAGAGCTTTCAGACGAAAGCTCAGAAAGGTGTAGAGACCTACTTCCAGAAATTAGCCACCGAAAACCCCGTGGCTTCCCACTGCCCGTACCCACTGGCACAGGGGCAGTGCTCTGGTGCATGCAGTCACCAGGGAGCAGAGGCTCACATGGTGGGGCTAACACTGCCACAACAGGGGCTTTTAGGACTCTGGTTCTACTTAAGGAAGCAGGTAGCTTTTATGTTTCTCCTCCAAGCACTTAAGGTACCAATAGAATAGGGTGCTAACTCTGAAGAGGGCAGCATCAGGATTGGAGGAGGGCACTGTGAAGATGACAGCTGCTTGCCGAAGGAGGGGGACTTGGGGCACTTACTGATGACGATCAAGGATTGCAGCCTTCAGTATGGATTACAACTTGGTGTAAAGAAAACCCAAATCCTCCACTGGACCAATCGGTAACACCAAGATAAATGAAGAGAAGGTTGAAGTCAAGGATGTCATCTCTCTCGGAGTCAAAATCGATGCTCCTGGAAGCAGCAGTCAAGATCTAAGGATGCATTGCATTAGGTAAATTTGCTGCTAAGACCTCTTTACAGTGTTGCAAAGCAAAGGTGTTACTTTGAGCTGCCAAGACCTCTTTAAAGTGTTTCAAAGCAAAGGTGTTACTTTGAGGGCTCCGGTGCACCTGACTGGAGCCATTCTCAGTCGCC